ATTGGATAAAGAGAAATCTTGGAACGCTGAAGGAACGGTCAGGTGGGATCGTATGTTATGACAACTAATCAAGGGAATTTCCAAAGAAATAGGAAACATTTCATTTTCAGGTTTTGAAATAAACCAATTAGTGATCATTGCAAATGATAATACAAGAGAAAGTACTTGAAAAACAAGGTGAGGACAAAAAATACAAACTTCAAAATATGTTTAATTTCGCAAAGTGAGTTATTGGCCTTGGACTGTAACCAAAGCAAACTGATTTGTAATTATATAGGAGGCACGATGGAGTAATAAATAACGACTTGGATTGAGAAATCGGAGAGCCAAGTTCAAATTCCATTTGAATCCATTACATTCACTTACATGTTAATACCCTTGGGAAAGGTATGAATCTACTTTTTCTCCCCCCAGCTATGGGTTAATAGCAGAACGGACTGGGTGGCAACTGGTCTACTGCAGAAAGAAATGGCAACCTACTGTGGGGGGATGGAAATCTGCCTCGTCAGTTATGTATCGAAAGATACATGATTGCATATGCGTTTATCATGCATGGCACATAAATGACTGAAAGAAAATAAATTACCTTAGGAAGGGGGATGTTATAACAACATTAGTAACGGTGATGATGATTTTAAGCACTTCTGGTCCCACTAGGGAATGCTGGGTCAAGATGGATCTAGGGGACAGTTTTGAATTAATGAGTTAAGTTTACTACATGTCATGTCGTCTCTGTGTTGCTTCAATTTTTCAATGACCAGTCTTGTATATCTTTCCACTCTAAGCCCAGTGGAACAATATCAAACTCATTCAGAAATATCTTCATTTTTTTTTTTTTTTGTTTTTGGGGTTTTTTTTTCTTTTTAACCCAGTGTAAGGACCAAGAGGTACACAAGGTAGACAGTAAAAACAACACATGACATACCTGGCAGCCTTAAGCAAGTGGATGACAGAACGTGGTCTGGGGAAGGTAGCAGAGGGAAGGAACTTGTTGAGAGCTTCAAGGGATAGAGAGGAGGTGGAGAGCCATGATCGCCTACGTCCTGAAAGGACATGGGGACATAAAAAGAAAGAAACTGAAGGCAAGTGAAGCAGAGGAGAGCTTATGTAAATGGTTGACAGCAAAGGGATTATGAATGATAGCAAAAAGACAAACCTTACTAAGAACTAAAAAGGAAAAGAATCCTGAGGAAACACATCACAAAAATGACCCAGAGGAAAAATTTCTGATGTTAAGTTTCAACCAGAGAATAATAATAAAAAAAGGGATTGTCCATGATCAGGAATTAAAACGAACATTATGACTGAATAGAACTTTCATATTTATAATATATTAACATTTTTGGGGTAAATGGAGCTCAACAGCCCAGGAAGGCAGTGCATCTAGGGCAATGGTTCCCAAACTTTTTTTCTCTGGGCCACATTTTACAATTGCTGAAATTTTGTCAATATGACAATAAAGATGGGGACAATAGTCCAAACAATGTAAATAGTTACAATACTTCATCTTAGAAATATAAACTGAAATTTTTATGTTTTATTATATTTTAATCTGTTAAATAAAAAAAAAAAAAAACACACAAAATGATCACTAATGTATTTTTGTGAATTCATGACTCTAAAAAAAAATTGTTTGCTTTATATATGCAATAGTCTTTTGTTGACAAATGTTTTGTGCCTTAATCATGAACTTTTGTTTATTCTGATCTCTCAAAACAAAAATAATGCTAACCTACTGTGGCCAGCCACCATCTTGGGGGTTCAGCATTTTTTAGGTATTTAAAATTTTTACTTTTTGTTTTTCTGTTGCCTTGTGATTCAAATCAGACAGCTTCTGGCTTAATATTATTCATGTCTAATGAACCATAAATTGTAACCTGATATTGTTTGAAAGAATAAACTATATTACCAATAAAAAATTCAAATTCCAAAATGATTCTTCTTTTTTTTCATTCATTTTCAAGGGCAGATGAAAACCCCCAATTTTGATCCCAACTGTGACTATTAATATAGATCAGCAACTGGAAATCCTCAATGTCCAGCTTTGTTGTCACTTGGCCCCCAAAAGTTATTGTTTGTTTATTTATTCTTTTCTTCTCCTTCAGTCAAATTGGTGTTGCTTAGAAAACCCAACTTCAAAAACCTCATCTGCCAGCCATAAACTAGAAACCCTTGAGACTGAGAAAAAATCACATTTTTCTCTCCTGTGTGCATATCCCGAACATAGTGTCACAAAGTTTTAAAATTCATTAATAAAATTTATGAAAAAGTAATCTCTGAGCAGAAAATTAATAGTAAATTTATGAGTGAACATTCGTTAAAATTCTTTTTTGCTGTAATGCAGATTACTTTAGATAACAACAGATAATTGTGAATAAAACTATTTCAAAGTAAAGAAACGTATCTGTAAAGTAATCTAGCCACTCAAAGTGAGTTGAAAATTTATTGATAGTCACCATAAAATGTCTATGGTTGCAACTATTGCACATTTCTGTCTGTACATTGTCACATCTCTATCTATAAAAGTGTGTGTGTGTGTGTGTGCGTGTAACGAATGCACGGCCGCAATTTTTGACGGATTTGCACCAAAATTTACATGCACATGCTCCAAGTTAGCGGGAAGGCCGACTTTGCATTTCCCAACTCCCATCGATAGTGGAAATAATCAATTTTTTCATGCTTCTACGACAGTTTTCATGTAGTTTGCGGCCATTTTCTACTGGCCAGAGTGAGAGCCTATAGCTGGCTGCCACGAATAGGCAGGAAGATTCTATTGGTCAGCATGAAAGCCAACAGCTGACTGACATGAATGTTAACTAGCATGCAAAAAATCGATAACTGCATTCGTCACAAGTGGGGAAAAATTTAAATCTGCATGAGACTTTACTCCAATTGGCTCATTCGCTTGCTTAAACTCAACGTTGATTCTGATTCCACAGAACTGGGTTGGGTGTGAAAAAGTATTTGTTGTTAACATTCTTTTTTCATTCGGTTTTTCCAGTTACGAGTCCTTTTTTAAAGCTGATAGTTTTTTGTTCATTTTGTTTAGTTCTTTTTTTTGTAACAGATTTAATGTTTAGTATAGAGCTTAGAAAAAAATTCGCTGTGTGAGATAGGCAAGAAGTAAGGCATGTAGCAACATCAGCATGGCAAAGGGCACTCCTTTAAAGGCAAGGAAGGGCAAAAATATTTTAAGTCAAGTGATAACGATTGCTGTATGAGTCGTACGATTTTTGAATCAAGCACGGTCAAACTCATAGGTAAGTAATGAAATAGAAGGTTTATTACATGAAGGTACACTTAGCAATTGACCTAATGCTAATTCTCCTCAACTCCATTTAACTCTGCTTATGTATGTAAATGGACGATTCCATTCATTTATGTCCTATATAACAAATATTCAATTTGTTTTTGTTTTTGTTTTTTTTGTTAAGGAAATTCACCCCAAGCAAGGCGGGAGTGCCACTAGCATGCAAGGGGTTACAGAGGATTGAGAACAAGAGGTGTGTTTGAAGAAAGGATACAGAAGAGGATAGGGGAACAAGATCAGGGTGTCATATGCTGATTGACATTACACTTGAATATTTGAAGATTATAGTCATCGGGGAAGCAAGTAAGAGGAAGGGAGTTCCACAGACGGGAAGTGTAGGAGAAGAAGCTGTTTGAGAAGAAGAGGCACCCTTTCACAGTCAAAACGGTTAAATGTAAATTTAACCGTTCTGACAGTGAAAGGGTGAGACCGAGATGCCATTTAAATGTTTAAATTCATGAAGTCCGGGAACCAGTTGCTGTGAAAATATTTGTAGAAGAGACAGAGGGAGGCCACAGCATGTCTGTGGGATAGCAATTGTAGACTAGATGCCAGATCAGGACCTATCAGTCATGTTAGTTATCTCCTGTTAATTCCCCTTCAGGAGATAACTGACATCCATTAGACATGGCACATGGAACAAGAACAGTCCACCCCAGTGAGCGAAATAAAGGGTTCAGTTCGACATTCCAACCACCTGAAGACGGTTGGAGCGTACAACGGCTGAAACTTTGTGATAAACATGGTGACAAAGGTGAGGATAATAGTCCGAATAATGTAAATAGTGTACATAATACCTCATCTCAGAAATATAGACAGATTCAATTTTTTAATTATAAAAAATATTTTCTAAAATAATAAAATTTTCCTACTTTTTCTCTACGTTTATGCATATAGTCTTCTGTAGTGAAGATAGGTGAGGGTATCTACTACGAAAGTAATCACTATTAACTTGAAAGTTTCTAGTAGTATCGCCCGCCCTATGGTAAGCCAAAGATCATGTGACCCACTGCTCGAAAAAGATTGCCCGTACCTGTCCTAAAGGATGAATCATGTCAGATGAAAAAATATTTCTGTTTTGTCATTGATTTTATTAACAGATTTATTTATTGTTTGTTTGTTTGTTTGTTTGTTTGTTTGTTTGTTTGTTTGTTTGTTTGTTTGTTTGTTTGTTTGTTTGTTTGTTTGTTTGTTTGTTTGTTTGTTTGTTTGTTTCTTTCTTTCTTTCTTTCTTTCTTTCTTTCTTTCTTTCTTTCTTTCTTAACACGTCAGAGTTATTTACCAGTTAATGATAAAAGAAAGAAATTCAGAATACATTTACACATGATGTAAAGGATAACAACTTGAAATTCTTTATGACGGGAACAATCTACAACATATTTATTTTTGAAAAACGTACTTGTCATTTTTCAGTGCGATTTTCAAATTCCTCCATTTGCTGATGACAAAACAATCTTTTTATCAAAAAAAATATGGTTGAGGAATCAAGTTAATACCATTTTTGAGTGTAAAGTATTATTAAATGAATTTTCTTTTCTTTTTACAATTGTTAAATTATTTTTTATACAGAAGATCAAATAGGAAATAATTCAATATATTCTGAATTACATCCCCAATGGTTAAGGTTAAAAATAATTATGCATGATATTTGGAGGTGTCTATCATTTTTTATGGCTTACTGTCTCATCACATTGAAACACTCGTTCCCATACGATCATGAAAGTTAAGCAATACCGAACTTGGTCAGTACTTAAATGGGTGACCATTTGGGAATACCAGCTTGTATGTACAGATGATGTAATGGATAATAGCTGATAATTGTTAATTGGGGAGCCAATTCGAATTCCAGTAGGGTTTTCTATATTTACTTACGCTCAAATATCATTGGGTAAGGTATGAATCCACTTCTTCTCCCCTCCCCCAGTTATTGGTTAATTAGTAAGACTTGTGTCACTAAACCATTATTAGTAGTACATAAGCTCACCAATCGCCCAGTTCTCACTCCTCCTCTGCATCTTGAAAAGAAATAGAGGTTTAATACTTGTTTTTTGTTTAGGATTGGGTTTCTAGTTCCTTCTAAAGACTGCTTCAACTTTGTACTTATAGCGTCTCTGCCTGAACTCTGAGGTGTTTTTCACAAATTAATTATTTTCTTTCCTGCCCCCATTAGGAATAGATAGGTTTACCTATCATCCTGTTACACTGCTCCCAGGTCTTTTGAACAGGAGTAGAGGTATATCCCTTGTTTTCTGTTTAGGATTGGGTTTCCGATTCTTTCAACTCTGTACTTCTGATGTCTCCACTTGAAAACTGAAATTTTATTCAGAATTTTTTTTTTTCCTTTCCCAATATGAGTAGATAGGTTCGGCTATCATCCAGCTCACAGGCCTCCACAATCTTTTGGATTTCTGGTTCTAAAGTCTACTTCAACCCTATACTCCTAACGTCTCCTCCTAAACTCTGAATTTTTATTGACTAATTAAATCTTGACCTGATCTTGAAGTCTAGTGTTAGTTGCCTATATTTTCTGTTATATTTCCTTTTCTTATTCTACAACTCCCACACAGTAACCCTCTACTTTCAGTGAGCCTTGGGCCTTGTATTGAGTGAACATCAGTTAAGAAAAACTGATTTGGCGCAATTAAATATTTTATGACATCAAAAGATTGAAATAAAAATCTATAAATTCAGAATAAATGCCAAAAAGTTCAAATAAAAAAAAAATGAATAAAGGTATAAAATAAAATTATTATTTTTCATTTTATTATTGGGAACAATTTTAAATTAAAAATTCCTAAGGGAAAGACAGTTGTGAAGAGCTGTGATTGTCTATGATCTTAAAATGACATGCTATTTTCCCTTCTTTGTTAGCGGCAAAAGACATTAAATAGGACGCAAACAAAAAATAGAAATGCTAATATTTGAAAGGGAGATAACTCCGTTAAAATAAATCAAAATACTCTCCCCTGTATTCTTTTTTTTCTGGAATTAATATTTTCAGAATTTAAAGCAATTGCTTGGATATTTATTTTAGTGCAACATTTTCAACATAATTATTGCCACATGACACAAACAATAGTCAGTGCATTATTTTAATAAATTAGCGATGAATAATCTATAGTGCTTTTTTTTATAACCATCTGTCACCTAGACTATTTTTTACACTTTTCTTATTTTATATATATATATTTTTTTTTTACCAATTGAAGAAAACTTTAATTAAAAAAATTTAAATTTGTTCGTTTCGAGCAAATTTTTCTCAACGAAATTATTCAATGTCTTCTTCACCATCCCGAGATGAACATTCGCCAGTAACAAAAAAAAAATATATATATATATATATATACGAGGGCCACAAAGACACTTTAAAGAAAAAAATTCGATGGAAGTTTGCTGGACGGAAAAAGAGACGAGGCAGGCTGAGGAAAGCAACGGCTGCTCTAATTAAGGCAACTAAATTTGCATAGTAAATCTCATAAATAATTTGTATTTGTTTATTAAAAAAAATTAATTAAAGTTTTGATATTCAATTTAAATGTGTTCAACGCACTTTCATAATGTTTGCAAAACTTTCATTTAAGTAATGCACTAATCACTTTACTGTTTCAGAAAATTATTAAGTAAATAGCGACGTAATTGTCATCTCAAAATTTTTGGCCCAATGGCCGCTTTTCACCATATGTCAGAATGTCATTTCCCCGCTTTCCAAGATTATCCGAATTAACAACAGGTATACGGACATGTATCTATGTTTGCGTTAGCATGAGTGACATCACGACGACGATTCCCCCTACTTCCATAATAGCACCAATACACGCAATCTACAAAATCCAAAATTTTAAAAAATGTATCAGTTTGTCTGACGATCGCAAAAGCGTGAAACCCAGGATCACAAACTCACATCAATCCAACCAAATATGTTAGCTCTGTCTCTGATATTGAGCGCTTTCTAATAAGCACAGCACATATAATATATAAATAATAATATATATAATATATATATTATTATATATATATATATATATATATATATATATATATATATATATCACGCTTTTCCCACATATATATATATGTGTGTGTGTGTGATATATACATATGTGTGTGTGTGTGTGTGCGTTTGTGTGAAAATATATAGAAAATAGGAAAGAACTCGTTAGGTAAATAATCCAAAGTTCTTTAGTATTTTTGTTATTATTTTTAAAAAGCAGTGCTCGATACAAAAGTAGAGCCTAAATATAATTATTTATTTAAAAATATGATTCCATCACTACATAATAAGAGTTCTCATGTTTCAAAACAAGAGCCGAAAACTTCAATATAATTATTTGAATTAAATTGAATTAAAGTACCAAGCTCTGTTCCATCTTCAAGCGAAATTTTTTTTAGAGCCTTGGTACTTTAATTCGGCTCTTGTTTTGAAACAGGAGAACTCTTATGTAGCGATGGAATCATATTTTTAAAATAAATAATTATATATATATATGTGTGTGTGAAAAGTGTGATATATATATATATATATATATATATATATATATATATATATATATATATATATATATATATATATATATATATATATATATATATATATATATATATATATATATATACTCAATAATTTCTGTAGGCGCATTCCAAATACTTTGCATATACTATTGAACATCTTCGTTATTTTTCCATATCAGTACATATATATTGACGTGAATGTTGAGGATAAACATTCTGTGATTGTTGCTTCAACTTTGTATCAAAGAATCACTGGACTTTTGTAACCAAATACAAACTGAGGCCTTTCTTCTCCAACAATGATAATACATGTGAATCCATATTGAATAAATCATTCTTCATACCGTCTTTTTGGACACTCATGATAGGCTCCAAATTCTGTAAATAAAAAATAAGAAAAATTTTAAGATCCCTTGTCCCAAAAATTTCCACTGGGGGAATTGCTCCTTAGTCTTAATAAGTTAAATAAGTCGATTAATCGAAATAAGTGCTACGTAATTTGTAACTTTAGTTTTAATCTTAATGCTGAATGTAACAAATAACTAATAAATAATTAATTAAAAATAACTTAATGGCTGGTTCATCAGTTTTTGAAAATGAGATCCATGTATGTCTAGATCCAACGGGAGATATAATAATGACTGATAGAATAAAATATCACTGGTAATATTTAACGTTCTTGCTCGCAAAAGCAACGGTGTGTCAAAAAAAACATTTATTTTTATTACGGTAGACATTTTTGGCTCCCTAGGAAACGTTTATTTACAAGAATTTGTGAACCAAGTACAATGCGATATTTTTTACTTATCTTAAGATTAATTATCTACTATTTTATAAAGAAATAAATATGAAAGAAAATTTTTTCAAAAATTCATAAAAAAATTAGAAAATTATCGAATTATGAAAACCATCTACAATGCAACATTTATTATTCACCATTTTATAACTATGAAAAGTATTTTAGTGAATTCATGTGGCAAGCGCAACTAAAAAAACTCGGAAAATGATTTTTCAAAATTTATTATTAGTTACTCATCGTTATGTGTCTATTCTTTTGTTCACAGACATTTTTATTAATCTATGGATAAAAAATTTATTTTCATATATATTTCTTTATAAATTCGTAAATAATAAAACAATATTCTAGTTGTTTCACATATTTTTTTATAATCTTGTAAAAATAAACTTATTCTTGTCACTAAGCAATCTAATACATAAATCGTATTTTATGCCTTTCTCAATTTTGATGAATAAAGTAAATGTATAAATGCATTTTCATATATTTAAGTTTTATTAAAATTCTAATCATCGCTTTATAAATCAATATATATTGCCGATGGAGTCAAAATGTGTCGGAGTTAACTCCTCCTTCAGTTCGTAACCCTTTCACCAGGGGTCTCTCTTCCCTGGCTATAAATAGCCGCTGACTCTTCACCTCTATCTCTTTTTCCTTCAGGCCTGTGCACTGACACCTTGAGGTAAACTCTCTTTTTTCTTCAGGATTTCAGCTATCAACCTCGAAATGTAGGCGCTAACAAGGGATAGCGTGGAAACGCGCTAAGCACAATATTCACACTCACGCACATACAGAATATTCACACACGCACGCACATACAGAATATTCACACACACTTCGTCCTTTGTACTGTTTCCATGTATTGTAACTTGTTATTAATATATATTTGTATATACATATATTATCGGTCTTGTGTTTTGTTTGCTTTCTTTACCTTCTTCTTTGGACTTAATCAAAGTCCAACCTTTTTATGTAGTTGGGCCCGTCGGGCAGGAGTATCTGAACCTTACTTGCGTTTCTTCTACGTCTGACTTTTATCAACAACAGCTAACAGCCACGCCATGAACCCTCAACAAGTGGTAACCGCCACGTTCCCACTACAAATGTATACAGTAATAGCGGTGACAGAGGAATAGCCGTCCATTTGACACCCCGTGTTAGGTTCTTTTTTGCAGGCAGATTTTAGATTAAAAGATTAAAGTTGGTTGGGAAGCATGAAGCTGGAAGAGTGTTCTACAAGCGAGAGGTGCGATAGAAGAAACTGTCAGCATAGAACTTACGGTTAAATCTAGCCAACTCTACAGTAAACTGATGAGGATTCGTCACCATTCTCGTACCGTGCTTAAATTCATAAAGTCTAGGTATCACAGTGAAGAGCTCACAGGAACAATTATTGAAAGTATTTATAGAAAAGGCAGAAGGAAGCACTTTTACGGCGGTGGATAAGAGAGTGAAGCCGAGACGCAGATCAGGAC